AATGCCATGGTTGAGGTGTCGGGCAATAGCTCGCCATTTTGTCCCATCGCGGGTACGGACGGAAGGGCTCGAAGCAAGTCTATCATTCAGCGATGGATGATGTTTGGTCTCTTCGCGCATAGTGCACGACCAGCACATTCGCTTGTCATGTTGTTGTTCTTTCGTTGGCTTTCTGTTAGAGATGGAATGTGCATCTTGCCCCACGATTCACACTTGTGGACGCATTTTTTACCCTGGGGGCTAGCCCATGGGGCTAAACACATGTACGGTCTGTTGAAGCGGCAAAGTGGCGAGGGGTGATAGAAGATCCGGCACGATGCAAGAAGAAAGCGAGAGGTCGATGTTAGTTCTCTTTCCCTTCGCTCCCTTGGACCTGAACAAACGTGTTTCCTGTTTCTTCTCAAGCTGCCGCGCAAGTGCCTGGCCTCGCCTAGGAGCTGGACCGTTGGGTTGGCCGGGGCAGCCTAAACGGGAGGTCAAGACGTGGGTCACCGGCTCATCATGGCGCTAGGAGCAGTTGCAAGGCGCTTAGGAAGGGGTCACTAGGATGGTGACAAGCAGTGCTATGTCATGGAGCACGCATACGTGTTCTCATGCATGGTCTTCAGGAGCGAGTCGTGTCCAGCTGCTAGCGCGAGTTGGATCAGGTTGCTCAGGAACCTAAGCGGTTTCAAGGCGAGGTGTGTCGGCACACCATTCTGTTGCTCGCTCCATGGGTTGGTCGTGGTGTGATGGAGCTAAGGGTGCGCCTTTATGTGTAAGTGGATGTGTTTGGGCACAGCGGCTAGAGCCAGAGATAACGTTACTGATCGATGTGTCGGAAGTCATTGTGAATCTGGTTGTCTTAACTCAAGGCGCGTTGAGCCTCAGAACATCTATTCGCGGCGGAGTTGCTGCTCAAGGCACTGCGAGCCACCAGGCGCTTGCTTGCACTGGAGCTATCATGGTCCCTAGGCCGCAAGCCAATGAGGTCACTTCTCCACCGCTCTAAGTGGTCATAGCTGGCGAGGATCGACCCCTCAGGCAGCCTTGGGCCGTTCCTTGCCGGCTTGATATCCTCGATGGGTCCGCGAGTCCCTGAGGATGGCCTCTTCATGTCTGGCTTATTGTAGTTTTTGGCCAAGAGGGCTCATGCATACTGGTGCTATCGCCACATCTCCAGCTCCATGTGCGGTTGCCGCTCCCAACATGGTGCTATCATAACCTGTTGTGCAGGGGCTGGCTTCAAAAGTAGCATGTTTTGGTTCACTCATTGCGGCGTACGACGCGCTTAGGGAGCCTGCTTCCTTGGGTGCACACGCCTCCATGCAGCAGATGGTAGCCCACGGAGTCATGTCATATGGCTTCCCTGCTATGTAGGATTAGATCCCGGTCCCAGGCTTGACCACTAACGGCGATGCTGCATGGTGGCAGGTAGTTTCGTCATTCGTGCGTGCCTTGGTTTGTTGGGTTTCGCTAGTGGTGACGCTGCGCTAGGTGTAATTCTGTTGTAGGGTCTAGTTTTGCCACTCGGCGAGTCTGGACAGGGTATGAGCGAATGACGGGAATTGTCCTGTCGGCTCGGGTGATCTCGTGGTTCCGAAAAAGGATGTGGCCACCACAAGCCATTCCTTGGGAGAGATCACCGTGAGCCATGACCCTCTGGTTTCCCGGGTGGAGGTCTCGGCCATCGCCGATAATGAGATAGGGCATTGGGCCCCTCACGTGGGTGCACTCCGAGATGCAGCCCCCAAGGGCAGTTCCAAGAGTCCAAACCTTCGAGACCAGAGGTCCGGGTTGCACCTGAGGGCGGACGTGGGCGTCGGCCCTTTGGTGCGTGTTAACCTCGTGGTTCATCAAAAGGATGTGGCGGTTGAGGCCATTCCCGTCTTGAGTTCTTTGCGCGAGTGTGGACCTTTGGTTTCTCGGGACGAGAGGCCTAGCCGCGGCCGATGGTGAGCGAGGGTACTGGTCCCTCTGGGTTGGTGTACTCTAGGATGCTGCCACCAGAGGTAGTTTCAAGAGTGTGTCTGCTGCGGGCTAGATATCCTAGATCTCTATGGTAGAGGTTTGGGTCGTAGCCACGGGCGGTCGTGGGTGCTGGCCCTTTGATGCTGGTGAACGCGTAGTTTTCGCGATGGAAGTGTCCGCCATGGGCTATTCCACCAGCGATTTTACCGGTAGTGCGAGGAGCCATCGCTTCCTTCTCAACAAACGAGAGTGTGTGACTGTCCCCTACCTGGCGCGCCAACAGTCGGTGTTTTATAAACCGAACTAGTAAACTTAAATGATTGTCACGCTCCTCTAGGAAGATGATGGTAGTATCCAATGGACACGAGGATTTTATACTGGTTTAGGCCGGAGCCCTACGTCCAGTCTCAGAGATGACTGAGTGCATGTTCCTCACTTGAATGCTCTAAAGTTCTTACAATGGGGGGTGCAAGAAAGGTGGAGGAGATGGAAGGACCTATGCTAGGTGAAGGGCTACCCGAAGAGAAGCTCCAAGAGCCCTACTACAATGGTGAATGAATGGAATGGTAAAGGATGTCAATCATATTGCCCTAGCGGTCCTTATATAGAGTTCGAGGCCAAGGCTCATACAAAGAGGAGGCTTTCCGACCAAAGGGTCGTGAGCCTGAGAGAGGGCCTAGCTAACTTGGCTTGCAAGCTATGCCGTCTTCTGGTGAACGTCCGGTCATGGCTGTCATCATGGTCTTCTGGCCTCGTTGCGGTAGGATGTGACACGGTGCTACTATGCCGGCCGTGGCGGCACTATAGCCTCAATGGTGGTTGGTCAGCTGTCCTGTGCGATGCGGTGTCCGTCATGGCCTTGGTCATCGTCTCCTGGTTCCCATGGGCATCATACCTGAAGTAGGTAGCTGCCCTGGGTCATCATTCGCTTGGACGCTTCATGGGGCCGAGGGCCACGACCCTGATCGTCGGGGTCGGGGCACTCTGCCGGTCTGGATGGCCTTTTACTTCGAGGCCCTTGTCGCGGATCTCATCCTGTAGTGGGTGGGATCGTACAAGCGTCTAGTCGGTCCGTATTCGGATGGCGGGTATCGTACCCGTGGCCACCGCGGTGCAGTGTTGTCTCGTCGGTGCGATATGGCACAAGGATGGTGTCCGACCGGGCCGAGGTGACTGCTGTCCCCTCGGTCCTTGCGGGGTCAGTGCGGCATGCTTGTTTTGTCAGAGCAGGCGCGCCTAGCTGCTCTCGACCTCCACCCATCCCCTCCGGGGGTCGTGACGGGGAGAGGTCGTGCGTCTTGCGAGTGCCATGTGACTAAGGCGGCTGGAAGGGGTCGGGGCTGACCCCATTTTTAGCGCCTGGTCTGCTATGCTCGGCTCTTGTTTGGCCTTGGTCATTTGGGCCCTTGCTGACTGTTGCGTTGCAGGCCGCGTGGCCTACTAACTAATCGGTGCCTTAAGACACCATGGGGTTATGACCCCAACAAATGTTGTTTTAAAATATTAGAGCCCAATTCACCTCCTCTTAGGCGATTTGGTCCTCACACATGGTTTGTTTTTGGTGGCTCCTTTGTAGTTGGTTCCATTTGTACAAGCGGCAAGTGATTGTAGAAACCTACTGCACCATGGTAGAAATATGAAAAGTTTGTGTTTTTCATATTTATTCTCATCCTGAAATTAAATATTATGGGATGCGGCGGTGAATGTATCACTTTTCCAGTTCAACTCCCTAGAAACTTAGTTTATGTGTTGACAAGTGTTCCCATATTTAGCTATCTAAATGACTTGTCTTTGTTCAAGAAGAAAGAAGGTAGCAATCATAATATGTCATATTACTTTAGAAATATGGAAAAATAATATACTTTATTATGTTAGTTATTTTGAATCCAATAATAAATATTATGGGTGTTACATATGGCCCTAAAACTAGCCCTTGATCTCTTAAGGGCACGTTATTGTGTTGCACCAAGTGAATAATGTGGCCTCTAAGCAAAGCAAGCTCTTGCTCTCAAAGTCTTGTGTGCATTACAATCTGCTGAATTTTCTTGTGGACATTGAATCATCTGGTGTTATAATAAAGTGGTAGAGAGCCATTTGCAAGAACGGATGACCCTCTGCATAACAATCAGGAATATCCTTTGTGTTCAACAAAACCCTAGCTTAATTAAATGCATCCAAAACAAAGGATGGAAACAAGTTTGAAGTATTGATTATAGCATGCTCCAATTTGGAACTGGTTCCATTTGTACAAGAAGCGACCCTTTGTACATGAGTAACAATGTATATAATCTCCTTCTGATATGTTATTCTTCCACTCCCATTATTAACTCTGCAAAAAAAATCTGTGTCGTTGTACCCCATTAAAATCCAAGTTCCATCTGTTCTACTGAAAAAATAGCTATTCATCCTCCGGATTTTTTTTTGAAACATGTGCGGAGCACGGTCACACACACACGCACAAAAAAAAAAAATCTCATTGTCCAGAGGAGCCTCCGCCACCTGTCTCAAAAACCAAAAGTTTGCCCAGAGATGTAATCTAATCTAAGCACTTGTTGATAGAAAAATGTACAGGTAATAACTTTCATGCTTCAACCTAAACATTTTATAACTTGTTAACACTGAAAAGTTCTGAAAGCCAGGAATTATTGATGTCGTCCATAGCAATAATGCATGCATGTTTGACGCCAGAACAACAACTATGGATACCTACCACAAAACGACCATCTAACATGCCTATAGTAAAAATATATATATATCAAGAAAGGAGCTTGAAGCCTTCGCTACCAGGGTTGGGGGGGGTCACGCCTACTGTGTACTGACCTACCCACCAAATTCATCTCTAGGGCTGTGCGTGCGCGTTCTCTCTCTATCATATACCTACTCAGTCAAATGTCACGGGGCGATGATCCGGTTCAGTGGGCCCTCTTTCTCTCTCCTCCTCATATAAATCTTCGTTCTCTCACTCTACTCTCACAACATAGTCACCACCAGACACCTACAGTGTTGCGATCGAACACGTAGGAAGAAGCAGATTCTTCAGAGTTTGAGACATGGGGAGGTCGCCGTGCTGCGAGAAGGCGCACACGAACAAGGGCGCCTGGACCAAGGAGGAGGACCAGCGGCTCGTCGCCTACATCAAGGCCCACGGCGAAGGCTGCTGGAGGTCGCTCCCCAAGGCGGCGGGGCTGCTGCGCTGCGGCAAGAGCTGCCGCCTCCGGTGGATCAACTACCTCCGCCCAGACCTCAAGCGCAGCAACTTCACCGAGGAGGAAGACGAACTCATCATCAGGTTCCACGGGCTCCTCGGAAACAAGTACGTTTACATATATTACTGATGTGACGATCACAGTAGATTATATATCAGAAAGATTAAATTGTTGTTGAAGCAATTATCTGCTCATTGATGACGTACATATATTCTGTTCTTTATTGTTCACTTCATTCTTACGGTGAAACCACCATGAAACAGGTGGTCTCTGATCGCCGGGCGGCTGCCGGGTCGAACGGACAACGAGATCAAGAACTACTGGAACACGCACATCAAGCGCAAGCTCCTCTCCCGCGGCATCGACCCCAAGACGCACAGACCGCTCGGTGTCTCCACCTCCGGTGCATGCGCGGCAAGCAGCCATCACCAGGACCAGGACCAGCTGCTATCAGCGCGGTCCAGCTGCTCGCCGGAGACCAGCGGTGATGATGACAGCGCATCTGCGCCGCACGACGGAGGCGGCATCGACCTCAACCTATCCATAAGCCTGCCGAGGCAACCGCCTTCGCCGTCACCGTCCCCACTGCCGACGCGGCAAGAAGCAGAAGCAACAAGCGGAGGGGTCGTCTTAGGGGATGCAAACAGTAGTGAAACAACTACACCTAAAGAGAGTGGTACAAGCTCCTCATCTGAGAGGAAAACCATATGCTTGTGCTTGAATCGCCTGGGTTTGCAAGGTGCCGATGAGAGATGCACCTGCGGTGATACATAGTTATTAGCTTATCTTCTTAATTCCTTGCAGGCAGCGACATCAAGGTCGACTCACCGGTCGTTTAGGGCACATGCATGATTTCCGCAGAGCTCTATGATTTGATGATCGTGAACAAGTCGATCTGCTCCTGTTCTTTTAAACATATTTTTGTTGCTGGTTCATCTTGTGCATGTTCTTCACTAAAATCCATATATGCTACTTTGATCTTTCCTACCCTTCTGATGAAACTGATGATGCTCTGCTAGCCTGGTCTCTAGTCCTATCTGTAATAGCCTTAGCTGGCTTTCTTCTAATCCATTGACGTCGAACTCTTTTGTCCATTACTGGAATCACAAACTCTTCTGTGGCATCTTCTAGATCAGTGTTTGGGAAAAGCAACAGAACTCCTACAAGTCCCACGTAATCACAAACCATTAATTCACAAGTACATATTTGGGGTTATTTTTGCTAGTTTTTCCATGGATTGTACCTTTTGATTGGTGGCTATATACATCAGCTGTCTTACCTACCACATCACCAAATGCCCCGAGAAGAAACAAAATTGTTCTTTTCTAGATGAAGAGGGTAACATATAATCATATGATGCAAGAGTTCTAAATGTTATATATGGATATATACTATGTATACTATATAGAAAACCATGTTGAACATGAGTATATAGGTGTACATGCATGAATGTACTACTTCTAGATTACCTTGTTTAGAAATGGTGGATTGCACACAAAAATGTTTTAGATTATTAGGATTTGGATCCTAATTCTCCCGGTCAAACAATTCATGCCTGGTTGATGATTTATTGACTTTCCGCGATGAGTAATTTAAGAGAAGGTGTTAGGCCCTTCTATGATGGTGGTGTTTGAGATGAGGTAAAGCTACATAGGCCTGAGCTCCCGACTGCAAGGCTTCGCCAGTGATGGCAGCTCGCAAGCGAGAGGCAGGCAGAAGACGCAGGGGAAGTCGGAGAGAAGGAAACCGATCCATTACTTGATCAACACGTCCATTACAATGCAATACCTGATATATCTAGAGTCCTTAAACAAACTAACTGGTCCACAAATTAGCAACTAACTTAATCTATATAGATTGGGAGTTTGGAACTAAGCCTGATAGCTGGCCATTGAGGCGTGCATGACATGTGCAACGTATGTGCATGGGCTGGCGCCTACACGTGAACCCAACGTTTCTCGCCCACGCCAACTGACACTGACGCTATGCATAGGAGTGCCCAAACATGACATCTCTCGCCGCTTGCTAAAACAACTCGTCCTCGAGCTAGAACATTAGGAAGCCTTTGAATTCCGACACCGATAGCCAAGACGCATTCGATGCTTCTTGACCCTTCCAATGCACCAGCACCTCCTCACCACCTCTTGCTAACATTGCTTTGATCATGTTTTGAGGCTCAGCACATGCATGACCATGGTTGATAGCTAACAACTGTGGAATTATTGCCGGTGGCTCTCCCTTGAATGGCTTCAACAACCTTACATTGTGTAGCCTTGCGCTTACTGGTAACTGAAGATGATAGGCCGCATCTCCGATCCGTTCCAAAACTTTGAACGGGCCCTAGAACCTTGGCCCGAGTTTGCTTTGACCCCTGACATCCATAGACGACAAAGGGCGGTGCAAGAGGCGTAACCAGACGTCGTCGCCCACCTTGGTGCAAAACGGCAAGGGGTTACTCTACTGCCATTTTATTTTGAATAAGAATTGGAATCTAGTACTTGTGTGCCCCTAAATCAATGGAAGAATACACACGGGTCTTCAAATTAATGTGCATTCATCTTCAAATAACGCAATGCGTATATGCCATTCATTTAGAACAAGTATATATATTTGAATGGAGTCTGATCTTATGTCAATAATAGGATACAATAGTCTGAATTTGTGAGATTAGTTGTTAATTGTGAAGTGTAGATGAATTCGTGATTCGTGAATCTCTTTTTATTCTGTGGGTACAGTAATAATGTAGTAACCATCTCTAGTGATAATATGCTACACCCCTATCAAAACATAGTTATAAGCACCAGTAAGGATACCTGTTATTCCTACAGGCAAGTAATAATGTGTGTGGATTGGATACTATTATTTTTGACGTAGCGTAATTAGCATTGATAATCATATTCTTATCCATGCCTACCAAATCGCAACCGACATAGGGATACTCAATTCTTATGTTGGGTCTGGCTCCTAACTTAGTTTAGTGAGTAGCTATAGGACACAAATACTCTAACAAAAATTTCCAAATGGCGCTTGAGATGAACCCATCTGCACCAAGGAACATCACATTTCCTGATTGGAACTATGTTTTTCAGGCCCAACTGCGTATACCGACCGCGCGGTGTGGTGTGTGAGCCGCGGCCAGGGACCTGCAATACATAAAATCCAATTGCTAGTTCAATTCAGAGGTGAATGAGTCTGCTGCAATGACGACAATCAAGCACACTGTGACGCGTTTGGCGGGCTTCAGCTATTTTATCGGCCGCCACCGCGAAAAACGCGGTTCCAAATGGGGCCTTACTCTGTTGATTCTTCATTCTATAAGTGTTGCAATTGCTTCTGAAAAAGAACAAACAGGAATTCACCACATTTTACCTTCGACTAAAACCAAGCACAACCTAACACACAATGCCGCTCTATTATAACGAGTGATATAAAAACCCAAAATCCACTGTGTGGTGAAATGTCAGGGAACCGTCGTCCATAGCTTATCCCAAGCATATATATCTTATGTGAGATGGCTTTAATTAGCATTGCTTTTGTGTTGTTTACCATGCGTATCATAAAACTCTGTAATTTCGTTGCGTTTAGTAATGAAATTCGGTTTCGACCGTGGTGGAAGAAAATCCTAAGCATATATATCTTATGTGAGATATCATATTGAATTAATTGGGTTCTTAAAAATCATATAGTGAGCTGGCCTGTTGATGGTTAATTGGTTAAAATATCGGTTCAACAGGTACACACCTTTTTTGAGTTAGGTACAGTTGTGATGCCATGACAAAGATCTGCCTGAGCTGCTTTTCTTGTACGTGCCTGATCACAACCAACCCTAGCTAGGTAGCTACCGATCTTCTAGAAAGGTTAGTGGGCTGCTTATTGCACCCTCCATCTTTGATGTAACATGTAATGAGATTCTTCATCTTTCTATTGAGCAGTACATCAACTAAAGTACTGTTTTCTTTCGGGGGGATAACTAAAGTACTGTTCGTGATCTCAAGTCTGCAGGAACTGATCGAAGAAGTTTGCCTCATCATCATTGATCGCTTTTCTTGATGTTTAATCACCTAGGGGTTACAATACCTATGCTCTGCTATTCATACATTCTGACTCCTTGAGAAACAATATAATTAACTCGGCGTTCTAGACGATGGAGCCTGATCAGTAAACTTGTTTTCCTTTTGTTTTCAGCAATCTGAGCCATGATTGCTGTATGTATTAATTACTCTTTGAAGCTAAGCAATGATTTTTCTTCTCAAAATATATAACCGCGATGCATGTCATAATTACCGTGTGCTACATATCTTCACTACAATGTATCATGTACAGAAAATGAATCACTGGATCTTAGCATATATCTGATGTTTCAGTCAGATAAGGACACAGCTCGTGAGTCCATTTTAATTACCATTGGTAGGGAAGCCACTGGGTGGGGCCACCTGCCCACCTTAGCTTCTAGAAGGTGAAGGCCCACACACAGAGAACTTTCGCAAGAGTGACTAATTAAGTTTTTTGTCCCAGTCTATTGAAAGGACACTAGAGATTTTTTAGAAAGATGTAGACATACAGAAAGGTAGTGCAAGCAGAAGCAGGGGTGCTGATGCAAAGGAGCTAGCTACGCACTATGGGTGGTTGTTCATAAGAGGCTGAGTGGTGTCATTGAGCTACCAACCACCAACTGCCACCGCCAAATGTAGGATGACCATCGCAATCGCCATCAAAATTCTGTTTACTGATCAAACACTTATATACGCTGAACTAGATGATTAATAGAATCAAACATATTTCCTACTAGCACTGGTAGGGAATTGACCTACAGCTAGAAAAAAAGCACGAATAGTATGCCGAGTGTACGCCATACAGAAATTCAGCGTTGGTAACTTAAATCCGAAGACAAGTGAATTGGTCTTCATGCTGCTGCATGCATCTTTTTTATCATGATCAACACTAAAGCTAGAAGCGACTATTCGAGCCCAAAACTTACCCAGGCGCAACCACGCAACGGCGCAAGTAAAAATCTGTCAAAGATAGGATTGTCTCTGGTGCAATGGTTGGTAGAACAAAAACAAAAAGGTTGTCCTGTAGAAAGCCATAGACCTCGACGAGGAAATTCATTTGAGCTTTTACCCACTACATGAAAAATAGTTTGTAGCAACGGAGCTTTTTTTAAAGGCGGCTGGCATTGGAGCCGCCCCTACAATGACGTACTCGGGCTCCAGCACAGCAGCCGCCCCTACAAATGGCACAGTGTAGGGGCGGCTCATATTACCAGCCACCCCTACAAATAAGTCGATTTGCACCTCTTTGTGTCCATTTGTAGGGCGGCTGAATCACCAACCGCCCTATAAATTCCCATGTATATATAGCAGCCACCTCTGGCCCGAGAAAAAAATTCAACCCTAACTCCCTCTCGCGCATCCACATCCTCTCTCGGCGGCGGCTCCCTCTCTCTCTTGTCTCCGCTCTCCTCACTCCCTCTTATCTTAGTGGCTCCGTCGTCCCTCCCCTCACGACGTGTGGCGCCCACCTCGGCCGCTGCTGGTTTTCGTTCAGACATGGATCGACCACCTTGCTTGTGTGCACGAGGCGAGGCGAGACCACCACTGCGCGATCGCGGCTCCTAGCTCCGCTCCCAGATCCGCTCCGCACCCAGATCCGCTCCTAGATCCGCTCCACACGGGTGAGTCCAGGCAGTCTCTTCTCTTCACCTCCATCTCCCCCGACACGGGCAGGGCGGCGGCGCGGGCAGACCTCCGCGGTGGCCAACTTGGCGTAGCCGG